AATATATATATATGACATTATGAAAATGCTGTCATACAGCTGTAGAAGATGGATGCAAAAAGTGCTTCCCCTATAGTAATGCCTTTGTTAGGACTGCCAAATAAGTTATGACAGCACAAAAAGGTTTGATCTAAGTGGCTGTGTATTGATGTGAAATATTGCACTACAAAATTGTGCACCTCTTTACTTGTACTTACCCTTTCCTTGTAGTTACCTTCACCAAGAAGGTTATGTCTTCATATGTGTGTGTGTGTGTGTGTGTGTGTGTTAACTCGAGCTTGATATGTGGTACATGTAGATGAGTAGGTCTTTATGATCTCGAAATGATTAGGGACTGTACGATATTTACCAGGGAGGGCGGCCAGTCGTCCGGGGGTAGGGTAAAAAATTTTTTCCTAGGCCCTCCCCCCAGGTCAAAAAAATTTTCCTAGGCCCTCCCCCCGGCTCAAAAAATTTTTCCTAGGCCCTCCTCCCGCGTGAATCATAGAGAGTGGAATTTTGTATGGGGAGGACGAGATTTTGATTGAAAATTTTCCCGGCATGAAGCGCCGAATGCGCCATTAGAGCCCGAGTAGGCCCGGCTTTTTTTGGGGGGGGGCATGTGACAAAAATCATGCCTTCAAGAGTTAATCCGCACTCACCCACAATGCGGCAGGACAATTCCATAGTCTTTCTGACAAAGACAATGAAAAAAAAATGTAAGAATTAGGAAGACAAGGAGCTTTCTTTGAGCATTTTGGAGTTGTTTTAAAACATGAATCTTCTTTTTTGCAACTCAGAAAAAAATGAAGCAGGCAAATTTGAGAGCCAATTAATTAAACTGGTGTGGCCTAAACATAACTTATACAAATCAGGACCTCATTTTCATAATTTATGAGGAAATCCTAGAATCACACTTTTTCATAAGACAAGACTCATAAGGTAGAGAATATACTCAAATTATTTTTTTTATTTTTTTTATTTCAACATTTCATGACCAAACATGGGGGCGGCACACTCAAGTTATATCAATATATTTTATGCATATGAGGGTTTAATTTGCATAATTCATGAGGAAAATTCGTCAGTCGTAAGGCTTAACATTATTTGGCAAAGGTATAAAGTCATTGAACTCCAGTTACCTGCTAATTTCTTACATACAGGCTAGGGTTCCACTGCTTGCTTTTTCAGGTGTGATACTGGACTCATTCAAGCAGTTTGCTGCCCAAAGAGAACAGGAAATAGAGGTATGTTTATCAAGAGCAGAAGCCAGTATTCTTTTTTAAAAGAACAGTTCGTGGATGATTTGGTCAGGTGTAACAGGAGGGGTCCTAATTCAGACCTACATGTATGTTACATGCAAACGCACATACCTTTGGTGATAGTTTGTCTGACCAAAAACCTCTGCAACATGAGCTATGGTATTGACAGATAAAGATCACAATGATTAAAGCTGCACAGCTGTGTATTTCACTTCAGTGCAGTGCCTTGCACCCAAGCGTAATGGTTCACGAAACTTACAGCAGGTTTTTGGTAATTTTGCCAGTGGAACGTTCTATCACAATAGGGGTGCCCTAATTCTGACTTAGTATCAAACACAGGTTAATCTGAGAAGAGAGTTTAGAATGTAAAATACACAAATTATAACTAAAACAATCTACAACTGTTTTTCTGTGCCAAACAAGTCTTCTTTTTACCATTACGCAACTTAGTAAACTCAAAAGCGGCTGTTTCAAAATCAAAACTGCATTTTTAACACGTTTGTCAACCCCCAAACAAGCGTCAAATTCAAACAGTCTGTTGTTGGAGCGTACGAATTGGAAGAAACTTTGTGATATTACTGTTATCAACACAAAAACTTTGTCCATTTCTGTGGGTAATTATATGCACATGCACCGATGCATAACGCCGCAACAAGGATTTTTCAAACTAGTCCGGAATTAGGGCACCCTCCGTTAGATATTTTGTTTTTATTATTAATGTGGGAAGAAATATACCTGTATATGAATATGCAAAATATACTTGTATATGGATACGCAATTTTCTATGTCTGGATGATCTATATAATTGAAACTAAGAAGCTCAGCAATATTTTTTCACATTTTTCAATCTAAATTGTTTGTCTATTACTAGTATCATGTTAGGGTGTCCAGACGTGTTTGTATACATGTATACATTGATCCATGATTGATTCTTTGTGCTGTCTTGCGGTCCATTGTGGTCATGTGATTCCAGCATTGTTTAGGTCAAGCATCCAAAAAGCTGCTTGGCCAAAATAGATAGAGGGTACAAGTTCAAGGAAAAACACGTCTTGCATTACAATCTATCAAGACAATGGAAGGTCACACTGCCATGGAGGAAAGTAAACATGTTTAAACTCCTTGTAACACATTTGACTTTTTTAAAAACTGTTTAACAATACAGGCAGTATAATTTGAAACATCATGTCTACACTAAAAAAGCTAAACTAGAGTGAAGGTCTTAACCTTTAGCCTGTATACATTGCAAGGCGCCAGCCTGACTGCCAGATCGTGTTTCTGGTTGACCTACGTTGTACATTGTAGTGCCAGATGTGTCCCACGATTTCTCAGACAGGTTATTAATACCCTTTTCTTATGTAAATTAGGTCCTGATTTGCATAATATACATCTTATGTTTATTTTCACTTGAGGCACCTACCTACCAAAAACAATGAAAAACTATCCACTCGTGGGGCAGTTATTTGCAATCAAACTTTGAAAAAAAAGGCACTACAATTTCAAAGAAGCTGCTAGGAGACCCAAAATTATTTTGTTTATTTACTAATTTATGAAGATTTACCACATTTGTGGAAGGATTGACAGAACAGCTGACCATCACCTCCTCAATATGTCAAACCTGAGACCTTAAACCTGAGACCTGAGCAGAAGATCATTTAAGCAATAAACAAACCAGCACGTCGTAGGGAGCCACGCCCGTGTGTATACGTCTGGAGAAGACAGCCGGCCGGTACTATGGTTAAACAAACTGCAAATTGTCGGGAATGAAAAAAATTACTATAGTTATACTGATATTGGAAATAATATTAGTTAACACGAATTATTGCCGGCTGCACCACACGGTAATTTTTAAGTGTGCCCGGCGCCGCTAGCGACAGGGAAGCATGCGGGCTGAAAATGGGGTCTCATGCTGCTTATCTTGATCGGCAACATGGTCGGGATGGTCTTAAATACATTGTATTATAGGGTTCTCTTTTCGAGTTTTGTGTTTCTTTTGATGGGAAAATGTACCATTACGTACATGTATGGACTTGAAATTTTCGTGACCTCAGCCGTTCGTGTCACTGTCCGTCATGGAACAGTCGCAAAGCAATAAAAGGGTAATTTAGCTACTTGTCACTAGCTTGTTGCTATTAGATAGCGATTAGTGGACTTCAAAGAAGTGGCGACTCCCGACAGGCTTGGTGTGCGGCGAACTGTTCTCTCAACGGACAAACTCCCTTGGCGTGCTTATCTCTCTATTTGACCGATTTCTACTCTTTCCAGCCACCTCCCCAAGCCTGGTACACGTAGAGGCTAGTATACGTAGGTTCTTTAACATGTGTAGGGTGTTGCTCTCCCTAAACATGGGACCTCCATTTAACGTCCTATCCAAGGGACATCCCTAACCGAAGCTGGGTACTTATTTACTCCTGAGTGAAGTGAGGAAAGTCGTGTAAAGTGCCTTTCCCAAGGGCACAATATCAGTGACATTGGACAGGATTCGAACCTGGGACCTCTTGGGTCTGAGCCCTCTACCACTACACCACGCGACCCCGAAATTACACCACAAACTCCCACTCTCAACAGCTTTCAACTACTTAAAAATCATTAACAAAAGATTTCTGGAAAATTTACCTGAAACTGTCAATACCTAAAGTACCAGTCATTGCAAATGGACTGGACTGGAATACGAATTTATACATTTTGTTATTATCAATTACTTATTATTGGTTAGTTACCGTTTCTTTTCTTTATTATCATTGTCAGTATCATTATTTATTGTATCTTAATTTTATTGTTTGTACCTGACTTAATTTTTTTTGATTATTTGAGTAATACAGAGCCCCACAGAAAAGCAGTGTCATCACTGATTGGGAAACCCTGTTTAAATATTACTAAAATTGATAAAATAAAATAGATACATGTAGCTGCTAGGAGGCCCATGATCAAACTTGACCAGCATCTTAAGTACCTGTCCCTACATAACCAACAGTTACTGATACCATACTTGTATCATTAACAACCATCCTCGTTTTCTCAATGTATGTTGTACACAAACAAAAACAAAAAAACAATTTCAAACTTGAACTTTTTTCTATAACCGCTGCTCACCTACCAAATATCATTAAGATCCATTCACAAATTTTCAAGTTATGCTGCATACATACATTTGTACAATCAAGAAAAGTACAAAAAATTGACCTTACTACAGAGACACACCACAGCTGCTCCACCATACTTTTCTGATGAAAGCAATAAATCTAAAATCATTCATAACCTAGCAGCAATGTACATGTACAATGTGTGCATACAAATTGGAATAGATGGAATGCTGTCAAAATCTTTCCTTGGGCACATAATGAAGGAACTATTAAACTGAAGGTACTTGAAGTTTTCTAGTCTTTGAATGAGTGCCCTAGACAAGAATCTGAGGTCCAATGGTCCAAAGATGTTACTGAATTCTGTCTTTGATTCATTATACAATTTTTGATTCATTATACAATAAAGCCGCACTAGGGATGTGGAGTCTTCCAGAGATTGAAGCACAGTTTCTGCATCTTTTATCAGCTCAGCATCTTTTATCAGCTAGCGCAAGATCATCTGCAAAGTCCAAATCAGTAAGATATTGGGCAGGGTACATTTGATACCTGTGTAGTTTGATTTCTATACATTTGTACAGTCATTGGCATCTAGCAAGAGTCTTTTAAAATACATAAGGTGCTCAGTACAGTTAGGTGCTTGAAGATCACCCTGAAGAACCCCAGAACTATGATCAAAATGAACAAGTCTCACCATCAGGGGTAATTATTGAGCAACGAAAATCAACGAAAACCTATCACATCTTTTCATCATTCTCTTCAATTACAAGGCATACTGTATTGCAAGAATCTGTGAAATAGTTGACCTTCCTTTCCAAATCCATTTTGATTCCTCCTATAAGAATAGGATCAAGTACAGGGGTTAGACAATTGACAAAAAGTTTGTTGTACACATCCCGCAATGGGGGTAAAAGTAATTCCTCTTTAGTTACAGGCAAATGTTAAGTCACCTATTGGGGGGGGGGCAATCCCTCCTTTTAACCAGGATGTTGGTGGTCTACAGTGTATGGTACATAAAAGTTTGGTTACGAATGCAAGAGGGTACTTGAAAATTGAATCTTTCAAAATGATGGGGGAAATGTTGTCCAGCGTTGTCTTGGACAGATCTCAGGACCAACTCAAGATCACTTGTTTTGTAGTGAAAAGATCTGTCAAGTTCTTTCACTACAGTTGTCATCAGTGTTCTAAGTCAGAGTCCTCACAGTTGAACTAATAGGGAGTGTTAGCCAGTTGTCTTTTCTCTCTTCACCTGTGGAGACTACATGTTGCAAGTTATGGTGTCAATATTTGTCATTTTCCAATGTTATTTTGCAATGTTTAATGAAGACTCTTTATAACTGCAGCTGGCAAAGATCAATGCCCAGTCTTACCCAGGAGCAACTCAGATGCCGCTCCCACCCTCCATGAAGAACTGTATCCAGCTGGCGGCATGTGGACCCAAGCAGCTGCTCCCAATGAACCCTGAACTCCCTGCTGACCTCTTCACCTCCTGTCTTACCACACCTATCAAGATAGCCCTTAGATGGTAGGTAATTGATTTGATTTATTATCTTTGTCAAGGAGGTTATGTTTTTGATAGCATTTGTGTGTACATGTATGTGTGTGTGGTTTAGCACAACAACTCAAGAACATATGGATAGATTGTCATGAAACTTCATAGGTATACCCTTGTGCTCATGAAGAAGTTAGTGACATCGGTTTGGCCCCCCTAGCAGCCTGTTCTGGAACTGCAGGAGCTTTTGTTTTAAAAAAATTTCCCTGGCCTCAAACATGACTCCCACCTCCAGCCCAGGGTCATCATGCGGCAACCATTGACAAGTCTCCTAGTACTCTCTCTGTAAAAATGAAAGGGTCCCCGACAGAGAAACGGCCGTTTAAACGCCCGTTTGGGGTGGCCATCCATTTGGGACAGCTGCCCGTCCCTGCCAGTAAACGGGGGCAACGGACGTCTTGACAAAGGCCAAAAACAGGCCAGGACGCCTCAAACGCCTGGTACACCGTCAGAAATGTCCGTTTTCAACATCATTTCAACGGGCTCCTGGGCGTGTCCGGGCGACGCTTGGGACGGCACAGGTGGGATCCAAACGGCGTGTCTGACGGCCGGACGGGTCTCTGGGGGGTGCTCAGTCATTGTGGACAGTTTGATCTTGCCGCTCCAACGGGGTTTGAACGGCGTTTCTGACGGCGTCCCGTCACGGAAGGTGTTTGGAAGCAAAATCCTTTTGGGATAGTTTTTCTGTTGATGACAGCCATTTTGAAGCTCCAGCGGGGCAGAACATATTCAATCTGGGTCCTGTGGCTTCCATGTGAACAAGGTATTGCCAATGCTGGTAAGGGAAAGACCTGTACCTGTATAGGTTCGGTACAGTACATACGATGGCCCATAGGTTAGCCAGCCAATTCCAACTGTGGACATAAAGGCTTAGGGAATGTCTATTAAAGTAGTTACAAGAAAATGGAAGTATTAGTAATACTTCCATTTTTTTCTTGTAACTACTTTAAATGAAATTAAACAAGAAGCCACAGGCGACAATCCTCCGTGAAGATTTATATATTTCAACAAATACAATCCCAAGGGTCAACGCCAGACCTACTGTGCAGACATTGTAATTAGGCAACGGTTAATACAATGAGGGCGCGTCACAAGCATAAAACATTAAAAAAAAACTAAATCCATTACTGCTCCCACTTCCTTTTACATTTCAACTCTCAAGTAGACGCCCCAGGCCAAAGTCGGGGTGCGAACATTATAATATTAAGGTTTCTCCCGACAATAATCACGAAACAAGCCTGACAGACGACCATATTTACCGCCCCGAACAGCACCACGCCGCTGTCCCACCTCCGGGTTAAGTGACGACAAAATCACGTCGAAAATGCTAAAAAAAAATACGCATAGAAGCATGTATCTTCTCCATAGAATCTTGAAACAATGCATTTTTCCACTAGAATATCGATGTGTGGTTCTGGAAAATAGCATTCTAGCGCTTATATCGCACAAAGAAATGCATGATCAGAGACGGGCGTCATTGCCTGTAACTGTTACTGTGTGCTTGACTTGACTTCTTCCTTTACCGAAACTTGGTGACCATATCGACGATAGTCACAGGAAATATGTCCATTTATTGAAGTTTAACTTTATTTCCAATTGTCCGTATTCTTATCTAAACATGCTATGGACGATCGATGTCGTTCCAAGCACCCCATGCCGGTGTCCGCTAGATTTCTGGGTCGTCCACGGATGTATTCTGTGTACAATCTACAGAAATGTACATCAGGTCCAATCATCCGATTCTCCCCTTTCAGTTTTTTGGACTCGGTTCTTGTATGTTGTTCCAGTCCAAACCGGTCCGACTGAACTAGTACCCACCCTTAGATGCACATCAGGCTCCTGGAATGTGCGAATGTGCAAAAAAATGACTCCAGGACTGTCTACAGGGAACACTCGCATAAGGCCAACATTCGCGGTGTAAGACAGCGCGACTGGCCATACACCGCGACTGGCCAAGCCCAGACTCTGCAATTAGTAACAGTTGCACATCAATCCGGCCGAAAGCATTGCGAAACACAGGCTACTTCTTCCTATATTCAGCGCCGTGTTTCAAGAGAATAATACCGGGAAACGATTACTTTTCTTGTTTTGAACGCATAGATGTACGTATACGCTAATCTAGTATACCTGCCATGGCCAGATTATCTAAAGATGTGTGTATTCTGTGTACAATCTACAGAAATGTACATCAGGTCCAATCATCCGATTATCACGTTTCAGTTTTTTGGACTCGGTCGTTGAACGTTGTTCCGGTCCAAACCGGTCCGACTGAACCAATACCCAGCCCTAGATGCAAATCAGACTCCAGGAATGTGCGAATGTTCGAAACAAAATTACTCCAGGACTGTCTACAGAGAACACTCGCATATTGCCCAACATCAACATTCGCGGTGTATCAAGACAGCGCGACTGGCCAAGCGCAGACCCCAACAGTTGCAAATCAATCCGGCCGAAAGCATGATTGTGTAACACAGGTTACATCTTATAGTAGATAGTAGATAATAGATTCTTTCAGCCAGGTAGGTCTTCCTATACCGGCTCATACTACAGGACGCGTTTACAACTAGCAAATCATTAAATTATCCGATCTACTAATATGTGTGGTTTACCAGCCCCAGACCACATCCGACCACGAGGCAAAACACATTGATGGGTTGCTCAAAAATATTGTCCATTTTTCCAAAGAGCTGCTCCACTAACACTATGGAGCGGCCCAACCCAAAAATATTGCCCATGTGTACAGTCAAGCGGCCAGCACGCTCGTTGCTAGGACGACCGGCCAGTTGCTACGTGACTAATATACACGCCGCCACTAGGTCGCCACACCCGACCAGTTTGAAATCGATAGGATTACGTCATCGGTATTAACATTAAATTTTTCCTAATGTTGACCTCTGACCACCCCACATATCCGTACCCATCAGCCCCGCCCGACTTACTACCGGTGACATAAAGGGACGACAACATTTCAACGGCATGGGGATGTTTCGAAAATAACCATTTACTCCAATATCAAAACAGCTACGGTAAAAATAAAAAGACGTGCATCATCCCGGACATAATGCAACACCACAAGCAAAATTACACAGAAATGCGACGTACGGAAGAATGAGTTTTGGCTGCGAACATCTTCCAAAAAACTTGGCATCTCTTAACCATGGGCAAAAACATCTGGAACCACTTATAAAAACCACCCCGTATCTGCATGAACTTTTACCCCCCCCACTGCTATTCCAAACAACGCGTTTTTCTGGACCATTCCAATTCGCCTCGTAATTGTAGGGGTGCGTCTGCGATATTACATTGACCGCGAAAGCAGCAACGGCAAAAATACACATTCGTGCATCAACACGGGCATGCCCGCAGACGGCGTATAAAATTGCGTGCCGATTAGACAAAGAGAACCCAGTGTTTTTACTGCGAACATGAAAAATCAGCCGATTACAACACTCCGTCCGGAGGTCCTGACCTCCTTCACGGAGTAATGAAATGCCCGCCAAGCTTAGCCTATCTGAATCCCTAGCAGTAATAAAGGGACGTTGCAACATCATACCACAGCAAACAACATAGATTGTTCACATGATGTGAAAACTTATAAACTGACAGGGAAATACATTAAAGGTGTGTTTCCTTGGGTGGGTATGACATAAATAAAATACAACACAGTGTATTTGGCATCCCCCTTGTCCCAACCCTCCCACGAGTCGGATTGCCCTCCGGTCGATACGGAATATGCTGTGTTGTATTCTATATATGTGTGTGTATTCTATTATATGTATATATAGATATACATAGATATACATACTATTAGATATATGGCTTTCATACTGTATCTCCACAGGTACAGGTCTTTTCCCTGGCTTGCCTGGAGGTGGGAGGAGGGCCTTCCACTGTAGGAAGTCTGGGTATCCAAGAAAGTCTAAAACTACTAAAAACACAAAAATAAATATAAACAACCCAATGTTATAATCCGTTCACAGACTCCTGACATGCTATACACAAAAAAGAACAATTCATAAAATGCCCACTGCAGTACCTTTGGGAAATGCCAGGTGAACCATTTTTAACCTTGAGCTACATATAGATCCACACCTTGGCCAAACCTAAAATATAACCTTCTTGTCGAAGGTACTTAATATCTTAAGACCTGGTACTATAATGAGCATTAACTAGACTGGAGAGCCATGCCCTTGGTACTTAAGAACCCCACTATGCTTATTGTTAAGAGCAGGCTGTAAAAGCAAATATTGCAACTGTACAAGTTAAGGTCATTAATTGGTAGTTAATGAACTACATGTATAATTTCTTACCTGGTAGCAGAAATCTGCTGGTACAAACGTGGTACTACAAAAAATAGTTATTGTATCATAAAATTATTTTAGTGTCATTGATGTTATATTTTACCACTTTTAACAAACATGTAAACTCATCAAGCACTTGAAACACAAAACAAAAATAAATGTTCCCAATCCAAGATCTGTAAGTAGATATTTGTTCCTCATATTTCGTCAGATGGGCCACAGCCTCATATACAATCTGGTAAAGAATGTATTATATCATTAATTTTATTGTCTTTGACATTGTATATCTAATAATATCAAGATCAATTCCATTCTGTTAATTTTGTTACCTACTTTCATCACTGCTGCAGGTTTGTTCACCAACGTGGAGGCAAACTGGTGCCAAGTATCACAGAGGACCTGATAGAAAAGTAAGGAAATATGTAGGATTTACAATCATGTAGTATCTGTGTCAACACACACACAGTATATGCCATGAAATATGCATCAAGTTTTGCAAGATGTCCTGCAAACCTTTGTAGAATATCCCTCAATCTTCCATAGAATGTCCCTCAATCTTCTGTAGAATGTTCTGCATTCTTTAGTGAAATGCTCTGCAATCTTCTCAGTCGAACCGCAGACCGCTATGCGCATCGGTTCTGCGCAGCTCTCTCTAAGATCTCGTTTAAATCTCGCGCTTCTTTTCCAAGGTAATGTGATCCGCGAGAATCCGCGAGAGTTTGCTACTGTTTACTGTTTCGCTTGTAACTCCGCTTTGCGTAAGTGTTTCCTTGTCATACGTTAACGTGAGATGTAAGAAGAGCCGGCGTCACGCTCAAGGTCGTAGATGTACATTACTGGTGGTGTTTGTTGGAGAAACGAGGTTTCAAAGTTGACCGTGCATGATGGAGATGATTCCACTCGAGATAGGTACCCTTTAGTTTTTTTCATCGTCGATTTGGTGTATTGTTTAATAAAGTATAGACCCTCCCTCATCTATCGTGTGTTGTTTCTTTTGGGATCCTGTAGTTGTTACAGTATAATAACCGATAGTAAGTTGGGCTCATTTAGTCGAATTCTCAACGATTTTTGTTCGAATCGCAAGCTTTTGCAACTAGTTCTAACCAATACACCTGTAATGTCAGATATGGCTGAAATATAGTTATGTTGGCTTGACACCTGTGTACTTAGTTTTGAAGTTGCACAATGTGTATTGCAGCTCGACCTTGAGAAAGAGTGTAATTTCTTTACAGTCTCTTTGCCTTTGAAAATGTTCTGTTAAAAAGTTATATAGAACAAACAAGAAAGTGAAAGAATATCGACCAAATTGTAAGCTTCAAAACGATACCCACTTTACGGATGAAAACAGAAGAGAACGAATTCGGGCATGAACAAATACAACAACACGTTGATTTTTCATGACCTAATTTTTGAAGGAGAAATCGGACATTATGACCTGTTACTGTAAATATACAAACATCGGGCATATGTGCTGACATTGGTATAGTTGCACATGAATCCCACTTTCTCTAGCGTCTTCATGATATAAGTCTGACTTGGAATGGGTTTCGTAAAGTCTGTTTGTAATGAAAAAAACTTGATTCCTTCTTTTCATGAACTTTCGCAAACAGCGGTTGAAAGTTGCAACATTGTTGGCGGCGCGAAAAATGGAACGCGCTGCCTTGGTTCCATGGATCGAACGCAAGAGTTCGAAACCGATTGACTTCAAATTTGACGATTTTTGAATGGTCAGAACCTTGTATTAAATTCCTCTTTTTGTATATACTTGAATTGTATCATACCACTTATCATATTGCATGTGGTAGCCACATTCATACAGTTTCTCATACCAAGAAACGAATCTTATGGCATTACGCGAAACGTATCAAAATGTAGCGGAAACTCAGGATGGTGTGTGTCAGTAGCTTACAACTGGGCTAAAAGTTGACCACCACGATGTGCGCATCGTCACAGTTTTTTTGGGGGGCAAACCCGTTTGCCATAAAATTTACCAGGGGTCTTTGGCATCAATGTAAAGGCGAAGAAGTGGGCTATCACACTGTGGTATTAGCTAATGGGATCCAGTTGAACAGCAAAAAAGACAAGCACAAATAAAGTGACCAAAAATTGCTAATGTTTGGAAGGCCGTAGCGCTAGCTGTTATATTTTGCAATGCACGAAATATCTACCTGGTTGTACACGGCAAAGCCTGCAGATATGAAAAAGTATAAACATTATGTAGGTCTGAGGTATTTTTGTTACAATATAGGCAGTTGTTTACACCCATGCAACGGGGTCAAATCGTGACCCGGCAAATGCCGTATCGTAGAGAATAACGCGTTCTACGGTGACCTGCGGTTCGACTGTTCTGTAGAATGTCCCGCAATCTTCCATAGAACATTCTGGGTCGTAGTTTAAATCTGACCGGAGCTTAAGTGTGCAGAAAATTGCCGGAAACGTGGCTTTGTTTCGTATGTTTTGGTTGCTGTATCCCTGATATCGTAATAGCTATGTATAAATCTTAAAGTTTGTATTTTGTGAAAAGCCTGTTAATTGTAGCCTTTATGGGTGGCGTAATGTTGGTGGTCCAGCGAAGACTTCATCGTTTTAGTCCGCGCGGATGCTTAGGTTGCCTTTTTTGCCTGGTTGCCAGGATGGCGCATTCTATTTTGCTATTTTGCTGGTGTCGTCATCGAATATAGCGGTAAACTTATCACATCAATTTTGATTTAGTTTTGAATTTAGAAACATTAGTTCCTGAGCCTCTTCCAGCAGTAAGCTGTTACCCCAGGAAAATTTGTTTTTCCATGCAGCCATGTGTGACAAGAGACAAAAAAAAGGACGCCTTACTTAAAAATGTACTTCGATAGGCCTTATTTACCCCAAAATAAATTGGCCAAAGAAAATATCAATAAGGTTTATTGATGAGTGGCATGACACCCCTTGCAACCAGAAGAATGAAAAATGTTCCACAATCTTCTGTAGAATGTTCTGCAATCTTCTGTAGAATATTCCACAATCTTCTGTAGAATGTTCCACAATCTTCTGTAGAATATTCCACAATCTTCTGTAGAATATTCCACAATCTTCTGTAGAATGTTCCACAATCTTCTGTAGAATGTTCTGCAATCTTCTTTAGAATATTCCACAATCTTCTGTAGAATGTTCCGCAATCTTCTGTAGAATATTCCACAATCTTCTGTAGAATGTTCCGCAATCTTCTGTAGAATATTCCACAATCTTCTGTAGAATGTTCCGCAATCTTCTGTAGAATATTCTATAATCTTCTGTAGAATGTTCCGCAATCTTCTGTAGAATATTCCACAATCTTCTGTAGAATGTTCCGCAATCTTCCAGTCGTACATGTACGTGTACAAAATGTAGCATGTCCAGAACATTTCAAAACTTATAATTCTGCTGCAGTATCATAGAAAGCAGCTAGGAGGCTTCATCTTAAACTTTCACTTGGAAAGAAGCTGTTTCTGTTTTGATTATATATTAATTGAATTAAGGATGTAACTTAAGGATGTCTGTAACACTAACAGTCAGGAAATGCTGTATGTTTTATGATATTGAAAGATGATGTGTTATGTCTCTCCAGAATACCAGGACGTTTAAATGACAGGAGGACACCATTAGGGGAGTTGAACTGGATCTTCACAGCTATTACTGACACAATAGCATGGAACACCCTCCCCAGAGGTCAGTCACTGGAATACTGGCTAGTTATTTTTCAAGGTTGTGCATATTAAGTTCAGTCCTTTTTGAATTTAAGTCATACAAATGTACGCGACCAAATTATAACCGAGGTGGTATTCAGGTTTTTTTGGGGGGGGGGGATGCTGCAGGTGACTAACAACATTTATACAATACTATGTACACACATGATGATGTACACACATGCGACACAGGTGTGGCTGATATGGGAGTCGTGGGGCTGGAAGTCTCTTCCCTACACTGTCACAGTCTGCTCTCAAAACTCCTAGACTAAAGAGCTTCAAATCCTTGCTCAGACTGATTTCCAATGAATGGCCGGCTTTTACTATACACACGGCCTGTGCCACTGTGGACATGTAGTATGTATGTCTTAAAGACAGTTTGTTCGAGAAAAAAGTTGTTACCTCCATGAAATGGAAGGTATTGTTTTTGGCGCGTCTGTGTGTATGTGTGTGTGTGTGTGTGTGTGTGTGTGTGTTTGTGTTTCTGCTTTTTTGTACCTTCATAAGTTCATAACGCCTTCATGGATTGTGGTGATATTTGGTATGCTGGTAGGTGTTAGGGGGGTGAAGGTCAAGGTCAAATATGGGCCTCCTGGTGGATGGCCTTTTTAGTGCAGTAGCACTTCCGTTTAATGAGGAATCTCCTTCGCAGCCAACAGATGTGTCATTGTGTGGCTATCGAGTCAGTGCGCTTGGGACCCGGTTTGATTAATGGGGTTCCCTCAGGGGAATAGGTGACCTATTTCAGGGTTAGGGTTTGTATTAGCTGCAGGCCTGATTAGCTGTGTGTTTGAAGTGTACTGTATACAAAAACTCATATATTTCATGGAGGCCTGTCTGTCTGTGTGTGTGTCTGTCTGTGTGTGTGTGTCTGTGTGTTTGTGTTTCCGCACATTTGTAGTCAGCATAACTCCATAATGCCTTTATGGATTGCGATGATATTTGGTACGCTGGTAAGTCTTAGGAAGACAAAGGTCAAGGTCAAATATGGGCCTCCTGGTGGATGACCTTGGTACTGCAGCAGAACTTCCGGTTTTTGTATCTTTTGTCCTAAACATGCTATGGTCTTGACTTTTTGGTGACAGATAGCTTTTCCTGTCAGGAATAAGTGGCGTGAGTTTGGTCCCCCTAGCAGCTTGTTTTGGAACTGCAGGAGATTTTCGGGTGAAATCTTTAAAAGCCAATAAGTCCAGATAGGAACAAGGTATTATCATCATTTTTGGTAGGTAGGTAGATGAGAGAGAGATGTACATAATTAACTACAAATTATGCAAATGATGACTTAATTTGCACAATTAATGAGGAAATTCTATAATTACAGTGTTTTACATTATAGTACTTTCATACATGTAATGTATGTAATCTATGGCAGATGGAACATCAACAGATACCAATTATGCAAATGATGACCTAATTTGCATAATTAATGCGAAAATTCTATGACTCCTTATTGGTAAATGATGGGAATTTCATACTTGGTACATGTGTAAGTTAATCAAAAGTTAACATCACGATGCATTTATTATGTTAATGTGGAGGTAATTTACATAATCAAAGAAGAAATTTACATTTACATGTCAAGCCCATATTTCATGGAGGTATGAGATCTCGGAACTCTCGTTTAAAAATAGATTTAGACCATGTACTATGTGATTGTGTGGTAACTGGTTACAATATTGTAGCAGGAAACATTTCGTGGGTTTTCACTGCTGCAACACGTCACCACTGCATTGAAGGGTAAGGCAAGTGCGGCGAAACCATTCACACATTACAAATATTATTTTCAAGATCACTCCTAGGTTTGGTCTGCTTTTTCTGAAGGCACTATGTACTCTTGGAAATGATTGTGAGTGAGTGAGTAAAATGTGGATAAAGATCAGTGGATATTACCAGTTATCTACTATTATTAGTCAAGGCAAGTCAAGGTTTATTGCACAATGCAATTATTAGTTTATTGCAATATACAATACATGTATATACGTGATCTTCATAAGGATTGTGCTGTCTCCCTTTGTGCAGAGTTGTTCCAGAAGTTGTTTCGGCAGGACTTGTTAGTGGCAAGTCTCTTCAGAAACTTCCTGCTGGCTGAGCGGATCATGAGGTCTTACAACTGTACTCCACTGTCCAGCCCCAGACTCCCTCCAACCTACCAGCACCCCATGTGGTGAGTTGTACCAGCTTGTCCTTACCTGGCAGATTGTTTAAGATGCACCAAAAGCAATCAGAAAAAAATGTCTGTTATTTCTTGGATTTTTAAAGAAAATTATATGGCTTCATTTAAATCCTTGAATTTCAAACTTTGTACCTAACATTAAGCATATAAGATCAGTTAAGAAGGATACAAGTGGATGTACAGTAACTTTAATGTCTGGTGAAATATATGCTGTTGTATTCCCTCCACATGTACATAATGTAACATTCACATGTGTGTGCATACCATTATTTGCGTACTTCCTCACCTCACCAGTCCCATAGCAGTCAGGTGACTGCCGTCGGGGCAACAACTTTGCGTGCTTCGGACAACTTAAATGAAGCCGTAACCCAAAAATTAAGTGACAGCAAAAATGAAACATAAAACAGGTCTAGGCATTCTTTGATAGCCATGGAACAGAAAGCCATGGAATACCTGCCCTACTTCACTACAGCACAGATGTCATGAAACAGACTGATGTGTTCCTAATGACGATAGCTGCATGCTAATATACAGTGTAATTGGCAATATGGTAAACCGGTCAGGGAAAGTTGAAGATGAGTACCATTTCCTATGTCCTTACTATAACGAAGAAAGAAATAGAATAATGATATCATGTAACGCTACCTGGGACAAGTAGAGATAAAGTGTCTGTTTCTGATGAACCACTTGCCTAGAAGTGTCCTTCTTTTTAAGCACAGAGCGAGTTCGTTACGGTCATTCAGCGGCTGATCGAACAAAACCGCCATTTTGAATGTTGTTGAAGACATTACCACTAGTCCGTACGTGGATGTGGCAAATGATCGCAACACTTGTATATCGCCAAAATTAGTGACAAATACTTCGGAATAGTGCAGAATAAAGCTTTCTGTATTGTGTTCTCAACTATTCCTTTCTTAGAACTAAATAGCCCCGCCGTAACTGATCCGACTGTGGTCCCCTTCTTTGAAAATTCAATAGTCCCAAGCCACGTGATCTCACGTAGTGCTGCCAGTGGTGCACCGGTCTACCGACCGTTACATTTGATGCCAATGATAACTAGTGCAAGTGTCATTTGACGAAGGGATTGAGAAAAAATGATGTAGCAAAATTACAGTCAAACAGCTAGTACACTGTTGTATGGTGTCAGATTAAGTTTTCGCTTAGGAATGTAGCTTCAGTTATCTTCTAAATATAGCAAAATTAGTCACTTTATGAGACAACACTGTTTTTGTACGGAAGGCTACTGAAGTAACAAGTTCCTCACTGGCCACCCAGTGCCGATCTCGCGGGGAAAGTGGCATGGGCACTCGGGGGCCCTGTGCGGAAGGAAACTCCATTCCACTCGAGTGTTCCACTCGACTTCAAAGGCAGCATCTTGATACACTTTTTAAAGGCAAGGTTTGATTTGCCGATTTAGAGTTTCCAGTGCTGAAGTCGCTGACACTGGACACCAAGTGTTGACATAACTTTGGCACTGGAGATCTAGGACGGAAGCCATTACTTCAGTACTTTTGCTTTTTGTACACATATCAGGATGTTACATTTTTGTCATGTCACAGATATTTTTGATACTGAAAATGCCTTATTTCAACAGCATATATTGCAACTACGTGACATAAATTCAGCAGCCTTTTGTATAAGTGAAAGCACTTTGCACAACTCATATGTATTTTTTTTAAAAATGAAAGACAAAGTGACTTGGGTGCGACATTTTTCAAATCTCATTTATTGATGTTGCTGCTTACTTGTTGCAGGCAAGCCTGGGACCTGGCTGTCGACCACTGTCTCTCTCAATTACCTGCTATTGTAGATGATGGAGCTGCGTACAGAGTGGGTTCAATTTCTTATGGATAATAGGGATTGTTTTGAGGTATTCCAGTATCAGGGTGAAGTACATGTATACAAAGTTAGCGAATTTAGAAATGACTGGGGCTAACTTCGTACAGAGGGTGGGGGCTGGTGTACGATTTACGAAGTTTTATATCATACCCGGGCCGCGATTACGTTCGATAAAGATGTTCCGGGCTTCCATAGAACAATTTGAATGCATTTTGCCCTAACCGCACGCGCCGCTTTCAAAAATTCGAAAAGAGAATTCAGATGTTGGAATTGATGTTGCATTTTTGAGTGCAGGGTCACCAAATTTTGGTGCATTTGCATTGAAAGGTGAGTTTTCTTGGGTGGGTGTGACATAAATAAAATACAACACGGTGTATTCCGCATCCCCCTTGGTCCCGGCCCACCCGCAAGTCGGGCCGAAGCCTCGGGCAATACGGAATACCCCGTGTTGTATTCTATATGATTGTACAAAGTTGACGTCACCACCGTGTGACGTAACCGTACAGAGGGCGGGGGCTGGTATACGATGTACGAAGTTGTACACATACATGTAGTACAGGTGATACTGTATGACATCCCATTCCATTAAAATGTACGTTTAGGTATAAAGTACCTAGTTACAAAAGACACACAAAAAGAAAGCTTGTTTTCCTCACCACTTCAGATGTTAATGATGTTTGAATTTCAAAAAAATGAAATTCCAAGTAGCCTAAAGATTTGTCGGGTTCAATTTACCGACATCTTCACACCTTGTCGATCCATTGTTGATTGATTGTCAATCCATTGAACTGGCAAGTAGATGTTTTGAATTACCGGTACTAGCGATACTGTAAATGGAACATATGGAACTTCGTACTTTCTACACTTAAGTACAAAGTTAGCTTGCGCAGCGTCATAATCCCTGACGTCATGACTTTGTAGTATTGTACACGTACTTCGTACAGGAGCCCCACCCTCTGTATGAAGTTAGCTTACTGATTTGTACATTTCACCCTGATCCTGGACAAGTATGATTGTTTCTGCAGCATAATGGCACTTTTTCCTTTGGACGTCTCACTTACTCATAGCCAATTACTGATGAGACTTCTTACTTTCATAATAGAGGAGATAACAATATTATCTGTACAAAATGTAGGTCCGGATCAGGTTCAGAGGATCAGGCCAGGAACAAACCTGATAATTGTACAAGCAGCAGCAATTCTTGCTTTTTTACTTATTCTGAATAGTTTACCTTTCACGTCCAGTTTAGGACATAAATCGTAGTTGAATATTTGAACCCATTTTTGGACTGGTTGAAAACTGAAGTGTGTACATGTATTGGGGAGGGGAGTAACACAGCTTGGATGATTGACTCCATAAATTTTGCACAGTCATGTATATTGATATCAAGGAATGAAAGGACGACGTGTGGTTACATTAGTAAGGCCACACCGACGTAATTTTATGGATGACATCTGCGCGCGCATTGATTTTTGCCTGTTCTCAAAAAAAAAAAAAGATCACGTCCGCCAAGGCTCTGATCTGGCTCTAGGCCTGGGTAGTCCATGGTATAGTTAGCGACAATATGGAGCCGGCATCCAGGCTACCGATGCTCCACGACTCAAGAACTCATGAAGTACCTACATGTACGTACAGTGCCAATTCAGAAATTCCGCCAAAAGCCAGCATTGCCGACTTGTCGTATACGTCGCCAAGTACTGCCGCAAATTCACAATACATGTACCAGCTTTGTATTCCTGTGGTTTAGTAGCATTTTTATTTTTGGACGGATTTTTTTAAATTCGCCCACGTGCACTAGTTTGGGGGTCTTCAGAGGATGTCGTCCATAAAATTAAGGCGGTTTTGTTCTGATATACCGGGTATTTGGAATTTGTAATATATAAGGGACTTGAATGTATCAGCGACACGACACTGGTAAACGTATTTGCATGTGAATAATGTATAGCGTGGGAGCGCGATCCGCATCTGTATGTGAATATTTGGCCTAACATTACTTTTGTGGCATTCATATGATTTGAGTATGAACCAGTCTAAAGTCACACCAATTTAATTTGTTCGTTCTCAGAATTTTTCCTAAAAAATATGAAGCTACAGGGCGAAAGATAAAAACAGGTCTATAGGAGCCATGAAGTCAACTTAAAAGACTGGGTTAATATTAAAACAATGAATTTCGAACTTTTATCAAACCACTACATTGATAAAGGAAAAACTAAGAACTATAGGAAGAAAAGGACTTGTCTCAACTCTTGGGGGAAAATAATGAGCATTTTTGAGTTGATTCAGAACCAAATCAGAAAAAAAGATGAAAAGACAAATTCGACAGCCAACAAATTAAATTGGTGTGAGCTAAGAGCTACATGTAAGAACCAGTAAGAACATGTAGTTGTATAGCAAAAAATGTATATAAAAGCATGCATGCATATCAAAATGGCAGCTGACCTTGTTACCTCTGGGGAAGGAGCTATCCTTCCACAGAAGGGTAAAGTAAGTGGTCGCCGTTTTCATGGTCGCAGCTTTTTCTCACGGTTGGGTGGATAGATTTGTCTGGACTGGGTCTGGGTATCTACATTTTGTTATTAGGCTGCAGATGATGCACGTTCTTTTCTTTTTATTACCTTTGCCAAGAAGGTTATGTTTTCAGTAGCGTTTGTCCATCTGTTTGTCTGTCTGTCTGTCTGTGAACAGCATAACTCAAGAAGCTTAATATGCATTGTCATGAAACTTGGTAGGTGGGTAGGTCTTGATGAGACCTAGAAATGATTAGATTTTGGGCCCTCTGGTGGCTTTTGTTGTTACTGCAGCAGAACTTCTGGTTTTGATATATCGTGATCTGGACATGCTAGGGTCACGAATTTTGGTTGGTAGATAGCTCTTGGGGTAGGGAAAAAGTGACATGAGTTTGGGCCCTCTAGCGGCATGTTCTGGAACTGCAGGAGCATTTGTTGAAAAATTTTCAAAGGATGATAACCGAAGAACCAGTGGACGGATTGTCATGATTTTTGGTATGTACATGTAGGTAGCTGAAGTGATGCTTGACATAATCAGATGACAATTATGCAAATCAGGAGCTAATTTGCATAAACAATGAGGAAATTCTATTAATCTGCTTTGTCCGATAATAGGACTATGAAACACTTGTAATTAAGAACAAAAAAAGATCTGAGGATATAGTTAATGTGAATGAAGACCTAATTTGCATAATTAATGGAAAATTTTTATAATTTTATAGTTGTAACTACTGGGAATTTCATACTTACCACATTTGGAAGTTAAATGAAGGCGAACATCAATAAACAAAATTTATTCAAATCATGACCTCATTTGCATAATTTATGAGGAAGTGCTATAATAGCCTTTTTGTTAAGATAAGACTGTCATTGGGTGGAGAATATGATCAACTGATATAATCCTTGCAAATGAGGCTCTTGTAACAATAGCCTTTTTGCTCTATGTTAGCTTACCTAAACATTCAAGCAAGCACGATTCGGATACTGGATTCTGCTTTCGGAGGAGTGTATTTATTCACAGTGTAACACAATCATAACCAACCACAGCATTGTAACGACAAGATATCCAACCTTTCTTCTATAGTTCCTGACAACTAACAAGAGCCTCGGTTACATTAACAATCGGACATTGCGTTGTGTACTTTTTTATAGACAAATGACTAAGGACTTACTTGTTCAGTTGGAACGGACACAGGACACTCAGAAGTCACTCCGCCTAGACTCTCTCGTAATCACTCCCGACACACGACTGTGTCCTGCCTTTTAAGCTATCCTAATTATGCGTATAACCGACTCTGACCTTGATTGGTAGACAATACGGCAGCCCACATATAGGTGTTAACTGGGCTTGTCTAGCCACTTCTTTGTGGTGCATATTGATACTGGCAGACGGGCAAGATGTTTACAGAAGTACAATAATGTGAAGTACAAGTGATATACATAATGCATTTTGGCACATGATACATTTTGACACATTATTAGGCTGGCCACCAAGCGTTAC